CAAATAACATTTTAATGGACAATACTTGTTTTTCGAATGTATAAAAAAAAAAAACAATAATGTTGCTTTATCACTTATGAACTGAAAGAAACTAAAATTAAAAAAAATAAAATTTTGACCTTATTATAACAATGAAAAATAACAAAAACCTGCCTAGGTTGCATTCCTAAAGAAAATATCAGTAAGTTTTTTAAATTAATTTGTAGCAATGTAATTAAACGTTTTTGCACTTTGCAGCCTTAATGAATGTTTACTTTTTATACATAATTTATGCTTAACTTTTAGTGTGATAAATAAGAAATTATGATTATTAAATTGATTTTTTTTATACTTTTAATGATTCTCAACAACTATCAAACAAAAATATTGTAATAAAAAAGAAAACTTAGTAGTTTCCAATTTTCCAGACTCAGCTAGGTAGGTCTACTCTCTAATTCATCAATGTATTGTAAATTATTTTAAGAATCTTATTCCGTTTTTATGGCCAATTCGACTCATATTTTGTCACTAAATATAACTCATTTACTAACTAAATGACATTTTTCAACATATCGTATATCCGAATTCTAAAAAAAACAAAAAAAAAACAAAAAAGAAAAAAAACAACAAGCAACCACAAAACAGCCAATATTAACATTTTATAAATAAATACAAGGTAGTAACTTTTTATTTCAAACGACTGTCACTCAGGATAAGCATGTATCGTACTGTGAAGTTACCAAGATACGGAAAAAAAAGAAAACTAAAACTAAAAGGCAAGAAACAGGTTCATTTCTGCGTGTAAAAATGTAAATACGTTCAAACAATTTGTTTGTCAATTGTAATTAGTCATTTTTTAAAACAAACTCTCTACTAAAAACTTTAAAAAAAATTATATCGTCTTTTTCCACATGAAAATTCCCATCTTAAATCATAAGTTCATAACTAAATTAAAATAACTATGGGTGTGGTTGAAATTCACTCTCGTCCAATATGTCTCAGTACAAGCAAAACATATGCAATTTAAATTTTAAAAGTTAAAAATAAAATTTACATTTTTTATATCTGAATTTACTTAAGCCTGCTTTTTTGTTAAAAATAACTGATTATAAAAAGCAGACTAAGAGAAGCAAGTGCTATTTTTTATTTATTTTTCTCTACTGTACCAAATGCCACTGAATTGATAGAAAATGATTAGATATCCTCCCAGCTCTACTACAAGACTTATTCCGCACAAAGATACAGAGGAAAACTGTTAAAGTAAAGATTATAAAAGTAGACATCTTATAAACTTATCAGTCATGACATGAGTCAGCTTTGTTGACCTACTGACAGCCAGAAGTTAATAGGGGACGTGAAAAATGCTTTAAGAACAGTTCCCACATGAAAAGTAGAAAAGACAATAGGAAAATACATCTTTCAAAGAAAAAAAGTTGTTTCTTTTAATCAGTGTAAAATAGTACAGGTTTGAGAACTTATTTAAAAAGCTATAAGAGTAGAACATGTAAAAGAAACGTTACAAAAACTTTTCAAGCAAACAAAACAAAACTAACAATTGACTAAAAAAAAAAAAAAAAACATGTGTGGGATGATGACATTGATAAAAGCTAAAGCAACTATGAAATTCCTAATATGTAGAGTGCATTTATTTTTCTATGAATTTTGATGAGTATGATGTCATAATTTTTATTTTTTAACCAACTGTCACACGAGGAAAAAATAGCTATTTTCAATTTTCATCATAAAGATAAGAGTGAAATGCACATTTTAGATTGCCGTGACAAATTTTAACAGTTGTTAAAATGCTTTCAGTGAAAATTTGCTTAGCTCATAAATGAGTATGCAGTTGTCACAATGCATATTTTCAAACAGTACTTTGAAAATTTTGCATAAAAAATAAAAAGATGACGAAAATGAAAACTGCTACTTCACTTCAAAATAGAATGGAATGAGGGTGTGTCGCATGATCCGAGACAACAATTGAACGAGGCGGTAATGAAATTTCATTAGATAACATAATACCCACCACCTTTTTTATTTATTTATTTGTTAAAGCAATTTTATTTACACTCAATGTAAAACTTTTTAAAAACTATATGCAATGGCAAACTTTTTATTCTTAACAGAACTGTGTGTAACAGTAACAAACACCTATCCGCAGAGAGTGACATGGAAAGAAGCATATTTTTTTTATTTTTTTAACTATACAAGAAACATGTACTGTTCATATGTACTTCAATAGGGTGTTTTATTAAGCTGTATGACTAGTCTAAGGTAAAGGGAGTGACTGGCCTATGTTGACATTTAACTAAATAAATAAAAATTAAGGAAGAAAGAAATAAAAATCTCGCAGAGCTAGTCTGACATCATACCAGTGCTAATAGTGGTTCCAACAACGGACGCCTAACTAGATTCTCATTTAATTCTTTTAGCAGACCACTGGCTATCGATCAACAGCATTGCCATTAATTATTATTATTATTATTAATTCATCATCATCATCATCACTCCTTTGCTAGATTTTAACATTTCCCTTTCCTAAAGTCTGCTTTTTGCGATATGAAAGCTACAAACTTCATAAATGGAATGCACACGTTTCTTCAAAGACCAACATCGATTGATCTTCATAAATGTCAATTATTATTTCATATCAATTCATGAATCGTGTTTTATTTTTTTAGTGATAATCTCGATCTACTTAAAATTATTACACTAGTTATCAACAAACATTATGGCCTAGTGTGAGAAATGGATTTTTTTAGTTCAATAATTCTACACAATAAATTTAACTTTTTTAATTTTCTAACCTTAATCAGAAAGGGATTTTTAAATACTTCCCCAAGACGTGGATAATCTAAAAATGAAAATTAATGGTCGATGTTACAACTCACATACAATTTGAATTAAATCATTATTTTCAACTTCAAATGTATAACAAATTAAGGAGCACAATATTAAACCTTAAAAAATATTTATTTACTTAGAAACAGGACACGCGTATTGGTCTTAAAGTGAGGGTTTAATTACGTATAGTTTTACTACAAAATGTGGTCCCCCATTTATAGCCAGCCTAAAAGGTTTTCTCTCCTGACATTGCTTCCATTAGAAAAAAGGGTCGTCCAATTTGGATAACATGGTCAGGGATTTTGTTTAATAAAAAAAAATGCGATCACCTGCTAGTTTAATTGATTTTATTTTTCCTGTATATTTCTCTTTACATACATAGTTTATTTAACTTTGTCTCCCTTAGTTTATTTGTATGCAATATTTTACTTCCTTTTCTCATTACCATATCAACTCTAGTGACCATAAAAAATGAAGAATTTTTCAAGTGTAGGAATCCGTGTCATTTAATGTCGGGGCTGGGGGGAGAGTCAATCAAAATGTTACTCGAAAATGTTATAAAAAGCTTAGTGACCATTAAAACCTTTATTTAAGCGCAAAAATATGAAAATGTCCAAAAGATTAGCTATATTAATGATTTAATCAGATTTTTGTTATTGTCAACGAAAAGGAAATACACAACGAAAATGAAATGTAGAAACGATCAGAAACGCAATTTTAACAAATTAAAATCACAAATACTAAAAAGATACATTAAAAGAGTCTAACATAACTGGAATATAGTTTATTTATAGTTTTACTAGGGATTTTTTTATTTATTTATCTAAGCAAGAATTACTTTAGTGTCCAATTGACAACTGAAAAAAAATAGTTTGTTTATATGCTTTCGTGAAAACTAAAATTTATTTCAAGGTAATTGATTTACTAGACAAAAAAAAATGTCATATTTGCCAAAATTTTGGGGTAAAATCTGAAAATTCCTAACGATTAATGGGTGTTGTACTGTTGTAATTTTCCTTTGCTGTCCCAGAACTCGACGAAGAAAGGTGGGGAAAAGTCAGCTTCGATCATATTTGTCTTTTTACTCGATCCCGGCAATTTTAACAGATCTATTTAATTTATGTTATTGTTAACTTAAGTGATGCTGCACAAACAGAAAATTGATTTTGTTAATAAAAAAAAAATATACTAAAGATCATGCATTTTTTTTTTCCTTTTCGAGTGTTATAAAATTAAATTTCTCTTCGTGATGTAAAATTGGGGGTTCATTTTCCTTCATTTTTGAAGTAATAAACTGACCCCCCATAAATCCTTTGTTTTTCCCCTATCTAATAAAAACATAAGATGATCAGTTAATAAAAAAATAGACTTAAAAATAGTATTTACCTCTCAGGCAAGGACATGTTGACTGTGTGTCCAGTGTCCTCAGCCGAGATATTGACGTCCACACACTACTTGTATTTCCATTTGCCAAGTGTGGCAAGAAGACGGTGGACTAACACAACACAGTATCACACTAGACAAGTTAGTTAGAAAACGGGATGAATTTTCTAACTTGATTACAAATAATCCTTATCTCGAGTTGGTCGGAGCCAATTCGTGCGTTTTATCACGATTACAAATTCTTAGGGAAGGCACATTTGTTGCTGTATTTACACAAATAGTAACGCTTCAAAAGACGAGAGACATAAACGAGCAGCAGATATGGACCGGAGTACGTTCGCGCACGCGTGCGCGCACACACACACAAATATACATATTAACAGACGGGCGCACACACACACACATATATTACCAGGACTTTTATCTTAACTATTACATGCACAACTTATGTACAACCGAATAACTATTTCTACATATTTTAATGGTGAAAAATAAACTTAATAATATATTTCAATGGAAACTGAATTAAGCATTTGCAGCATATTTTGTTGATACTACGCATTTCCGACGAACTCTTTTTTTACTCGGATTATTTCTAAACTACCTATATACGACCTACTTTCTCTTAATATATTTTCTTTATTTTATAAAAAAATATTTCGTAAGAAAGATCTAAAATTTAAAAAAATATTTTACAATTAACTTTAGCGAAATTTTAGCATTTTTTTTTTTTTTTTTTTTAAATTTACTTCGTAAAGATTAAGTCCGCATTGGAGCCACGTGAAGCGGTAAACATGGCGCTCAGGGAAGAGTCAGAAGGAAGGTCGCCGCCTCTTGGCATTAAATTATTGCCCACATTAGAAAACATCAACAGGAATTTAGTGTAAGTAAGCCAAAATCAAATATTTAAAGGAGAATTTATTGGTACTTTATAAATTCACTTCTCTAGTGATATCAATATTGGTTAGTAATCAACTTCAAAAGATGGGCGTAAATCTGTCGTTAACAAGAAGGAAGGGATCAATTGTTAAACAGTAACTAAATGCTATACAAACCGCTTGGATAACATAACTTAAAAATATTGTCGCTGATTAGTAAGTTACTGAAACCTTTCTATTCCTAATTTAAATTGCACAGTGAACATTCAAATTCTTCTGATGTCTGTTTTTAACCGTTTGTATCAGATACTGAGTCTAGAGAGTGTAAACATTTGGGATTGATATTTTTAACAAAAAGTTTTAATGTCAACACAGTTTATGTAAAGCAAAATTAGTTGCAAAATAAGACTAGCTAGTCAGATTGAAAAGTTTTCTTAATGTGCTGAATGCACCTTGTCAAGAAATATTGTTCTTATTTTGTTTGTTTTTTTTTTTTTTTCGATCAAAATTATTCAATAATTAATTCATTAATGAATAATTACCATTTTAACTCAAATTCTATCTTTCAACCAATATAAACTTTACTTTTGACTTGATGGAATTTAACAGGGAAAGCAAATAAACTTTTTTATTTTTGTAACCTAAAAATCATAAAATTATTTATATTTACTTACTCCTTGTATTTATTTTATTTGTAACTCTCCATAAAATCGATTTTTCTTTAATTAAATTGTGGTACAAAACATGAATTGACCAACAAAAAAATGTCCGGTTTTTTGCACATTACAGTGTGGTGTTGTAATGGTCCCTAAGCTTGTCTTACTAGATCAATTAATTTATGAGTTTGATCCTTAATGGGTGCCTCATTTTCGGCCTTGTGCCACATTTAAACTACGCTTAGTCAGAAAATAATCACCATTGCAGGGCTCTGTGCAAGTTTAGTAAAACAGCTGTTATTGAAAACAAATTTTAAAAAAATAACTATGTTCCAAGATTTCCTATAAAATATGTTTGTTTCTCATTGTTATTTGTAACCATAGCAGTCAATAGATTGAAAATAAATCGAATTTTTTTTTTTTTTTTTTTTCGTGAAGTTGTGATTCATAAAAAGTCATAGTTTTCAACTTCTATTTATTTTTGTTTTGTAAACAAAAACATTGGTAACCCTACAACAGCCCAACCTTTTTTTTTACAACTTCTTTATCAAACTGACGAAAAATGTTGTCTTATTTTGTTGTTGTTGTTTTTTAGTTTTTTTTTCTCTCGAGCAATTAAACTTACTAATTTTTATTGTTACCACAAAATTTCAGCCAATCTACATAGAGCTTTATTAAATAAATAAATGTATAATTCTTAAGAAAAGATAGCTTTACTTGAAGAAACGTTCTGATCGCACCACAACAGTTTGAACAAAGTTTTAAGTAGTCAATATTTATTTATTAGGACTGCTGGATTTTTCTTTCTATTCAGCATTCAACAAACCAAACACTTCTTCCATACTTTTATTTTAATTTTAAGCCAAATTGACATTCTTCGTTGACTATATCTCCTTTTGTAACTTTGTTATTTATCAAAAATTAATTGTTTTCTAACCATCAGTAAAATTATCTTTAATAAAGAAAGTTTCTTTCTTTCTTTCTGAATAATTGTTTTTTATGTAGAGAACTCTCTTAAAAAATTAAAACTTACTTTTGTTGCTATTGTTCTCAGGGTTTGTAAACTAAATGAACTTAGTAATACAAATACAGATTTGAATACCTTACTTATTTGCATTGTTAAAAACCTTGATAGTGCAATATAGTCTACACCGGGAACAGCTGGTTTTGCAACAATGTTTTCCTTATAAACACCTGTGTGGAATGAATAGTCAGTGAAGTATGGACTCTGGCAGAAATGAGTGAAAAATTAAGATGTTTTATTAAAGAATGATTGTCAGCAATGAAATATATGGGAAGTGCAAAGTAAATTCAATGACACCTAGTGATATTTTTACTTATTTTTATTAAAAAAAAATACTGACATTACTTATTCATATTTGTTGGTATCTTGTGAGTTAAAAATAAATGCAGTATCTCAAGTGGGTCATGGTTTGACAGTAAATGTTTAAAAAATCATTTGTGTAACTACATAGACATTTTTTAATTTATACTTTCATGTATCACGTGATCAAAAACATTCCAGTCAAATTATAAATCAAGCAAGTGTAACTTGTCCTTAAAATCTTCAACATGCATAATGAGAAACACATTATTCCTCAAATTTGGTATACCCAAGGTTTAAATGAATTTTCAAAAACGAAAAGGCTTTCTTGAAGCTAGCTTTGTTTAATTGAAAGCTAAAAAATAAATTTACTACTTCCAATAAGCAAAATACTCTAGTGTATTTAAAACATAAATTCTATTGGTTGGATTTTTCTTCATTAAAAAATCTTTTCAAAAATAAAATATACTTTTCTAAAATTTTATTTGAGAAATATTAGCTGATTTAAACTATAGTTAAAAATTTGAAACAAATATCATTTACTTAAAGTTGAAAATAACAGAGAAATGGATTTTTAAAACAAACAGTAGCTTGAAGTGTTTGTCAACACTTCGTAAATCACTTGACACTTTTTAAAACATAATTTAACAAAATGATGGGGGTGGGTGAATACTTTTTTATATAATTTTTAAGTACTTAGTAATTTTAAAAATGTTGGAAATATTCTTCATAATCTAATTTTAGGAATGTTAACTTTAAATTTACTATCATGATAGATCTTATTTTCTGAACATCATGTATGGTCACCCATACTTTCAAAATCGTCATGTTTATACACATAAAAAAAATTTTAAATTAAAAAAAAAATAACAGCATTATGATTTGTATTAAGCTTTTCAATTTTCACTTAGCAAATATAGTCTTCACTTAATAACCTTATATATATATATATATATATATATATATATATATATATATATAAAGAACCTTGGAGTTTGCAGCTCTTATGTACATGATGAAAAAAATACATTGAAAGTATTTTTAAAATTCTCTCCTCTACTATTATAATTATTTCATATACAGTCTCAAAAGAACGTACAAAATCCATAAAACCAAAAAAAGAACAAATCATAATCAATAACACGAAAATTGTTTTTTTTTGTTTTTTTTATAATTATTAATTTCAAAAGAAATTTAACTAATCTCAATATAAAAATTATTAGAAACACTTCAGAAACAATTAAAAATTTAGTCAGTGTAAACAGATAACTTTACATCAAAAACAGAACTCTGTCAAATAGAATGTAAACCGTGCCTCTAAAAATACATTGGCAAAGAATCAAGACTTAAAGAATATAAGAATATAAGACACACTCAGTTCACTTGTGACCCATCAAAACCTTCATGATCACAACTTTTACCTAGAGAATACCATTTTAATAAAAAGGGAATATAATTTACTCAGATGCAAATGCATTGAAACTGTCATGGACTCTGCATCTGCTGCAATTAATATACAACTGGGCTATTACAGTTTATTCTCTGTTCTTACTAAATTAGTACTGAAACAATGTAGGATGTTTAAACTTTGAAATAAATAAAAATAGTTGAAATTAATTAAAATATAATTTCTATAATGATAGAATTGAAGTAAAAATCAGCTGCTTAACATGAATCATGCTTTTTCTCAGATTTTGATTTTGTGAAATAAAATTCTTCTGATAATGCCAGTTCATCAGTGGAACATGTCAAAGTAAAAATTTGCAAAATTGTCATATGAATTCACAGACATGCAGTTGTGAAAACAAATCTTCATGTGCTGATAACCCAAGAGTCAGGCATTTTTTCCTAACTGAAATGTCATTACCACTGAACCAGAGCCAGATGAACATGCAGCTTCATCATATATTTCCTCATGTATTTACAACTTTCCAGTCAATGTTTGTATTAATTCAATCATTATGTTTACTGAACTTAAATATTAATCCAATGATGTAAGATTTGAAGTAACTGAGAGGATAACATTGTCAAGACTCTCAGCAGTTAATGTAAAGGGAAGATGACATTCTATATTATCCAATCTGAAATGACTGACATTCTTCATTTCTTTAAACTCATGCCAACAAAGTAATCCTGTGTACTATAGTATTTTTACTAACACCAGTTCTCTTCAATCAATTTACAAATCTGTCTGTAATTTAAACTACTGTTGACATATTTTAGTAAGATGGTTCTATATTCTTTTCTGATCTGATGATCTTATTCTTCCTATACTTTCCATTTGTGACATTCTGTAGTGTTACAATCCCTTAAGATTGCACATTTTGAATCTGGCTACCAACACTTATTATTCCAGTTGGTGGTCTTTCCCAACTGTCACTTGTGTTATCAAGATTCATTGTCTTTCAAGTTGACTGAATAAATAATTATGCTAAGCATGCACGATACTTTATTGTATCAAACAATACAAAAAAAAAATTTCAAATGGTTATCATACTGATATCTGAAACATCTGTTTATATCTTCATAATCTGAATGTATCTTTCAGAGAGAGAGAGAGGGGGAGAGAGAAAGTTCTCAATATTGATATTTAAAATCATAAGCAACAAGCTGACATCAAAAGACAAGGTATGTTTAACATGTGTACAGAGTTTCTGCCTGAATTTCTTGGATGAGGAGTTATCATTATTTACAGTTGGGCTCATTTTTGTTATCACAACATTTCAGCCATTTTGCCTTCTGGCCTTCTTCAAGTGTCTGTTGATGCAGGTATTGGAGTATATTATTCTTGTTCATTGACCATGCCTATAGATGTGTTTTTTTTTTTTATCCCTCCAAGGTGCTCTCATTCATAAAAGTTGGATGGTAATCTTGAAAGCAGTGAACCTGTTCAACAGGGGTCTAACAGATGATTCAACAGTTTGAAACAAATTGAAATCTAACCTCTCCATCGAGGAATGTTCTAATTTTATTACAATAGTTAACCCGATGGAAATGTTAACATTCTGTGTATAGATAACATTCT